TCCCCACGCTAACGGCAATAAATATCTCACACTCCCCCTGGCCCCACATCAAGCAGCAGGTGCCCAAGGCCAAACCCCACAACCCCCCCCCCACGTCCCCAGGGAAGGGGGCAGCTCCGTCCCCCCCACCCACGGGAAAGGGCTGGCGCACACGCGTGCCCCCAGCCCGCTCTCTGCCCCCTCCCTGCCCTGGGGCAAGGGACTCTGTGCGTCCGTCTCCAGCGCCCACCGAGACGAGGGCAGAGCGACCCTCAGAAGCGCAGCTCCCTCAGCTTCTGCCGCAGATAGTGCTTGGCCTCTTCGATGCCGCTCACCTTCTCCAGCTCTGTGTATGGCAGCTGAAACGGGACAGCAAGAACCCGTCAGTGGAGCACCACAACCAGAGCCGTTGCCCCTGCCCTCCAGAGCCTGCCGTGGCCACGGAGGCTGGGGCAGGGACAGGACCCTGCCCCTAGCTGGAGGCAGCAGCAGGGCATTGGCTTTTGGGGAAAGGGCGAGAGAAATGGGAGTCAAGACCTTTTTCTTCTCAAGGGAAAGGAAGTGCTTATCTGTCCCCAGAGCTCAGGAAGCACAGAGAAGCCACAGCGCCATGCGCTCGGGGCATCGCTGTGTCCCACCCCCATCCCTGACTGCCCAGTGCTAGAGCAGAAGACCTTCACCCCACTCCAGCATTTCAGCCCTGGACCAGCAGGGCAAAGCATAGTGAAGGGGCAGCCTCCCCGGTGCAGGCAAGAGCCCAAGAGCAACTTGCCCGTGCTGCCGCTGCCCTCTAAATGCTTTGCCCCTGAAGCTCGCCCCCCCCACCTGCTGCGGACAGGTACCTGCTCCGGCATGGTACCCCCACTGCAGACGGTCACAGGAGACACTGCAGCCCCAGGCTGTGATCTCCCACCACAGCCTGGCTGGGGTCCAGCGAACACGAGGTGTGCATACAGGGAGACCAAATTGTGCTGCAGGGGTCTAGCACTAGGGAGTCTCTTCAGCTTTAACACAACCTCGAACCCAGGTCAACAACCACTCGATGAGGAATCAAGAGCAACATGGGGGGGGGGGGGGGGGGTCTGGGTCTTGTTTGCCTTTTGGCTGCAAGGGGAGACTAGGGGAAGGCGCTTTTTAGCAAAAGGGACAGGGACAACCTACTGGTAGAGGGAACGAGCAAGGCTTGGCATACTGCTGCCTGAGGATCAGGCCAGGGTGGGCAGCAGGCATTAGGCCTGTCCAGCAAGGAACAGCAAGATGTGCTGACCATCAGCAGCAGGACAGGCAGGCGGCTGAAGAAGTGGAGTAATGCCCAAGAGGGGCGAACTGAATCAGGAGCTGGAGGGGCAGCATCACTCGCAGCAGCTGGCAGAAGGCTGTTACTGCTTCAGTGTAACCCTAACCCGTCACACAGGCAGCTGTCTCTGCAGCTAGGAAAGAGCAGAGTGATGAGCCACACAAAAGAGGTGCCCACCTGCAGCGCAGGATCAGCAGCAGCATCCTTCTGCAGCTAGTTCTGATTGCCTCTGTCATGCCTCCCTGCCTGCTCCTGCAAGGGGAAGGGGGGACAGCACCTTCTATGTGGAACAGGCACTTTCTGCTT